TATTCTGCAGCGCAGCAAAGACATTCTTAAAGACACCTGCATTTTCCGCGCTCGTGCTGCGCCAACGCCTTGCATTTTGAGCGTCTCATCAGACACAGCAAGGTAGGGCTGAGAAAAAATAGGGAAGTATTATGGAGTTATTAAGGGGGATACTAGGCGTTTAGACTGCAGCTCACATGAGGTTGAAGGAGTTCTGCCTATGGGTGTGGGTTCCAGCTTGGATGAGCTTGGTAGCCCCCAAGGAATTTCAAGGCTGAGTTGTCCATTTGTGTTTGGTGCACGCTGCTGGCAGATTTGCATGCGAAAGGAAATTCTTCACCTGGTTACTCCCCTGCCGGGCTTCAGCGGCGGATTTCAGGAGTCTCCTGGTCTTTGCAACATCATGCATGACTGACTCTTGGGTCTTTTGAGCTGTACTAGATGTCAGTTCCTTTCGTGCAAGTCCATACATGTGCAGGATGGCCTATATGGCTATGTCATGAGCAAGGAGGGCACTGACTTCACCCGCTTCCGGTCCCTCTTTCATGTGTTGCTACTACATCTCTTAAGGGGAAAATTACTTCAGCATCAAACTGATCTCTCTGGGTGTCATGTTCTCCTGGCAGTCTATATACTTAATAATCCCTATATAACCCATGTAATCCCTGTAACCATTATCCCTATATTATCTCAACCTCAACCCTCTTGTCTCCACGCATTCCAGGCTGGACACTTTCGGTGATGAGCAGGGGATGAGTCTGCCGCTCGTATGATCAGGTGATGGGAGGCTGGTTACTACCAACAGCCATGTAAAGATAGAAGTCAATATCAGCCCGGGTGGCGGTTTCAGTTCAGTCGTGCTGGAGATCGTGGCAACATGACGATGACGACGGAGTCAGAGGGACAGTGCCACAGTTTCAAGAACGAGTGGCCTGTGTTTGGTGTTCTTTTTCAGAATTCGAGACGACTACGACAAACAGTACTCTCAAGTGCAGAGCTGTAAGGCTGCAGGACTGGCGGGCGAGAACGTTGTCTGACGATGAGGGGCTAAGTACGTCCAGTAGAGCAGAGCTCCAGCACAATAAACATCGAGGATCAGGAGGAGGAGGATGAGGAGGAGGAAAGCAGGAACAGGAACACGCACGTGATGTAAATCACCATCGTTATCATCGCCATGTACACCATGAGAATGGCCAGACGAACATCAACAAAAACTGATGATTTCATCATGCCTGCTGTGCGTTGAGTGAGGTCCGATTTGGATGGTGTTGAAATCAGCGGAGCTCCTCTCAAGGTGGGACTCTAGATGATGCGGCTTTCCGGTTATGTCTAAGCTCAGCTTACGAGATGCAGGTTCCACAGGGAAAGGACGTTTGATTGGAGCTTTATAGTGCCTGCAAGGTCGGAAATTTCGCATACATCTTCGGAACGGACGGGAAAGTGGTGCCTGCCTCAGCATGAAGTCTAGGGCAAGTCCAATTGTGCGGCACCGCTGCAACTGGAGCTTGACCAGGTTTCGGTGGATTTGGTGGAATTTGTACAGTCCGACTTCTTCGACGTGGAAGCAGGTGCAACAGGCAATCGCCCCGCCGCGATGGCCGTTGATCGCATCGTTGTCGCCCGCCCCGACGCGAGCCAGACCTTTGGCAGGATCTGTCAGGACACCTCGTGCCAAAGGGTATCTGCGCTGCTTTCTATTCTTTGCGTGTCCCAGCAATGATTCAGTTAGCTGCGGCTGTCCTAGCCTCATGTCATGACTCATGACTTACACAGCTGCGAGTGCAGGACTGGAGGTACCCTGGTTGGCATTGAGTTTCATTGGTGCGTCTGCGTCTCATAGGCTCATAGGCTTACAGTTTCTTGCTTTTGGTCTCATGAGTTCTTTCGCCAAAAAGCTCAGCGGAGCAAAGCAGGGTTGTCCTGCGCAAATCAAAGATTTTTGTCTGCATGGAATGTGTTGCAAGGCACCGGCAGCACACTCTGCGTCAGCAGTGCCAGCAGGAGGCCACTGACTTCTTGAGATCCATGCCCTGCCAAGGCGTTGTAAGCGAAATGTGGCTTCTCTGTGAAGTATCCTTGAATCTGTTCCCTCATGTTGGTGGGTCTTGTGATGTACAATGTCTGATGTGTTGTTTTTGTTCCCTGGGACAGGAGTAAAGGACCCTGCCGGTGCAAGAGCAACCCCATTAAACTGGGTTTGCATGATGACATGTTCAACCCCATGCTAGTCCTGTTGTCTAGTCCTCCTGGGGCGTGCTAAGCTATGAGCTGCACATGTTCGCCTGGCCTAGAAGCTTTGGACACCGCTCCTGCGGCAGGTCTCTGTCTTCACTATGGCAGAGCCCGTGCAGTATGAGTACCAAAGCTTTCTGAGTGTGGTCACAGACAACAAATATGCTTACTTCTACCGCTCGCCGCAACATGGCAGCATGATGCCAGGAACTGCTTGCAGTTTGTGCAGGAATATCTCAGCGCCAGAACCTTGCAGGCGTAGCCTTTACCGCAATGAGCTTATCCTGGACACCCCGGGACTGTTGCCCAGCCAGACAATGGTGCTGGCAGATGCCGCTTAGCTTCAAAGCCATGGAACTTGCATCATCGATTGTTAGCAGCATGCTTCACGCGCTTCAGAGCAAGTACAGCCAAACGGTCTGTCCTTGCGCTGAGACCCTCCCGGACAGCTACTTCAGCGGAGCCTTGCCTGCATGAATCTCCCTTTGTTTCCACAGGCTTTGGTCAGTCAAGCGGCACCGCCAGGCTGCTACTGGCGGCATATGTATGTGCTTAGGTTTCGACGATGGAAACTTGGGCTACCTTCTCCCGTACCAGGGCCATGCAGCCATCCAGCAGCAGATGGCTTGAACGAATGTGTCTCCATGATGACGTTCTGCCCTTCCTCAAACCCTGAACACCTAGACCCCAAAAACCCTCCACCCTAAAGTTTGAACTCTTAGCCCCAAAATGTGCACACCATTGCCACCTGAGACGGTCGTGCGCTTCCTGCTGGAAACCTTCACCTTCTACGATAGCCTGAATTTGAAGGACTTCTATGCTGGAAATGTTCCTTGACATCACCAGAAACCTAGGTAGGGTAAAACCCAAGATATAAACAGACAGGAAATACAGTCCGTGACATTTATAACAGTCAATTTTTACCACGCTAGGGTGTCGTGGTATACCTCCTGATGCCGAAGGTCTTATAAGCATTATGCAGTTTCAGGGATGCCAGACTTCCGCATTCCCCGCCGGTTCCAAGATGATTTGGGGCTTACCATGTTTCTGGTTCAAAATGTGCTATGGTGCCCAAAAAACATCGATGTCTGGATCCTAGGTTTTTCACATGGTGTAGGGTACCTCAAATGGATCTTAAGGTGATATTGATACCTATTTAGGACCATATACTCCACATTCTTGCAGATCCCATTTCACGTGCCATTTTCTTCTCCATTTGATTCTCCGTTATTATGATAACATGCACCTGCATAATTTGTTCCTATATAACCCCTATGCGCAGCGCGCACTAAGCTCAAAATCACGGCTTTACATCAAATCTGCTTCGCATTGTTTCACTTCCAAGGTGGATGATCTGAACAACTGGTGGGGTGCTGTCCTCAGTCAGCTGGGGGTTTTGAGAAAATATGGTCCTGCTTGACTGCTTGAGGAGTCCCTGCAGTGAAGATTATCGTACGTTAGGGCTCATCTTGGGGTTTATAGAAACCTCCAGATTTGTTCCAAGAGGACATCCAGCCTAGCTCTATCGACGGTCATTAAACCCTCAACCCTATCTAACCCATTATAGTAGTTTCCATTTTGTTTTCCGTTATCCCCATGTTACCCATATATAACCCTATCAATGCTTGCAACCGGCTACTAAACCCTTAACCCACCAGCCGGAACCCTTAACCCGAAACACCCTCAAACCCCAACCCTATGGTCCCTTTTTGGATCCCTGTTATAATACGGCACCTAATATTTAGGGTACCCAAAAAGGGACCATAATTTTGACAAGCACCCAGGTGGGTTCATCCATGGAGGGTTCGGGTACCTTCTGCCCGACGAAAAAGGCCAGCTGTCTTCACTGGGCTGGCTTTGGTTGCTTAGCAGTAATAATAGTAGTAACAGTAAGAGTAGCAATCATGGCAATAATAGAAATAATGCAGCAATCGTAGTAATATTAGTGTAAGGGCAATAATAGTAATACTAGCAATCATTGTAATAGTAGTAGTAATAATAGTAACAATTGTAATGTTTTCCAAGGGAGGGCACAGGCTTTAGCAAAAGCTGCGAAGCACGCGTTCTGCAGGTGTGATGCCGCGATTCGAGCTCCAAGTCTTTACGACAGCAGAGTTCATGGACCTTGGGGCAATAGATGCTGACCTGATGACACTCATCGGCTTGGCAGGTTTTTTGTTTTTCTGATGCTCACGCATTTTGATTCGTGTGATTAGTTCTGCAGTGATCCTTTGAGGAGATTCACGAAAGGCCTGGTGCATGGCAACTCGGCAAAAGCTGTGATCGGTCGCGTGCACACTCTGTGAAGCACGCGAGCTCGAGTTCCATCGGGACGCTAGTCACATCATGAGCAGAATGGTGGCCGTTACAGTCAATGCCAAAAGCGCTGACCATCATCATCGTCATAGCTAGCAGCACAGCTCAAGATCTTAAACCCTCAACCCCAAACCCTACGCCGAAACCCTCAACCCTAAACCACAAGCGGCATTGTGTGCGTCATGTCTCTGAGCTAGACGAGAACATTGACTTGCCTGAGGCAACACAACAAGATGATGTGTGAATTTCTTGACAGGAATAACAGTGGCATAATAATTTCAAGGGTAATGCGAGTAATGAGAGTAACAATAGGAATTATCGTAATAAGGGTGATTAATGATAGCAATGATGGTAATAATAGTAATAAAGGTAATGATAGTAATGATAGTATGGACCGTAGTGATAGTAATAAGGGTCAAGATAGTGATAGTCATACCTGCGCTAGTCCATGCAATTCGAGAGGCCTAAGCCCTAAACCCTCCCACATGTCAAACAGTCATAAGTCGTTCAGTCAAGCAAGAGCTTAGATGCAAGTTTGGCCACCTAGGCGAAGATGTCTACCTGGTGCCGAATCTTCACCCCGAGACGTTCATGGGTAGCTGCAAGGTGCGAGGGGAGTCAGCGAGCTTCTTTTCATATGCTATAGCCTACACTCCTTAAAGGAGATCATGTAGGGGATTATATAGGGGAGTCTCTCTAATGAAGGGGGATACTAGGAGTTGACACTATGGCTCATATTGTGCCATGAGCGATCTGGACCAGACTATGTGGCTTGCTGATTGGTGTAGGCGACCTCGTCGGAACCGCAACGGTCCCACAGTAGTGGTACGGGGATTTCTAGTGGGTCTTCTGTCAAGGGTCGTAGATAGGATCAGCCGCAACACTGGGTCTTGGAAAAACAAAAACAACACCCTATATATCCCCTACAATCCCAGTAGTTTCCATTTTCTTTTCAATTATCGTTGGTGGCTCCCCAATTTTTTTCTTCAACATGGAGGTGGCTGCACATGTCCTCGGACGTGCTCCGGCCAGCCTGCTTCGGACCAGGGCTGAATTCAAGGGCCTCAAAAAGAGCTGAACCCTAAACCCCGAAACCTTGAACCCTAACCCCGAACCCTAAACCCTAAGCCCTAAATCCTCAACCCTAACCCCTAAATCCCAAGTCCTCAACCCCAAATGTGTGCTCTCCACTTGGAGGTGGGAAAGCTGAACTTGCTGGAGTTTC